GTCCGCCTTTGAACCATCTTGCTTCCTGATTTCTTGTGCCTGACAATTCTGTGTAATATAGAGAATCACCCACTGTTTTTAGGAACAACCAAATACAGAAATAATATTTTGGTCTTTCTCTTATTGTCTAGAACCCCACAAGAAAGAAAAGCCATTAAAAACAGGTAAGCATGGATTACTGCCCCATCTTTGTTTATGCAAAACCTATTAATATATTACAACTGTGCAACATTTATTAAAACTCAGTACTTTTAATTTTCATTTTAGCCAAGCTGCTAACAAAGGATATCCATGTAAAAGAATCTGATAAGATTTGGATCAAAACAAATTTAGCAATTTACACTTCCCATCAGTTAACATAAAATTATTATAATCATGATTGCCATGAAAAAGAGACCAACCAAAAAATCAAATAATGATGAATAATAGAGTGCCTTTTGCCCACTCATGGTTTCCTAGGGCTCATCTCTTGCCCTGCCTCCTAGATCATTTGCTTATCCCTTGTTGAAGATATATCCTTGTATGAGATCCTCTTTCTCAGGATTGGCTTGCTGAAAAGGCTGGCTGAAGCTTATCCAACTAGAAAATGATATTTTCTATGAGAGAACAGAGTCAGACCTTCTTCATTCTGTGTTGCCTGGAGAATGATTCTTTAGTATTGCCAGCATTCTGGGCTCTAAACCTATAAAAGGACCATCTCAATTGGTTATAAATGCTCTCCATAGTTAATTTAATTTTGACAATCAGAGATATTAGAACTTTCACACTTAAAGTTTATCCTTTCTTTTTAGGAAAAGTTGGTCTACCCAAAACCGAAAACCAAAACTGAGTGTTAGAATAAAATAGAGCTTGAAGGGACTTTGGAGCTCTTCTAGTCCGGCCACCTGGTCAGACAAGACACCCTATACCATTCTCTAAGTACAGCCCTCCCATCAGTAATCATTAGCCCTTAAATAGAATCTTGTTAGACTGAAAGTATTTCTCCCCTCCTCTTTTTAGTTTTTTCAAGGGACGGTTCCTTCCAAAATGTTTCCCAGGTTTTTCCCCCATGGGCAGACTAAGCTGCATTTATCAGACCACTGATTAGGTTTCAGGTCTTGCTCCTGTTCCCAAGGTCATTTAAACATATCATCACATTAATTTCCTCATAGCTTTAGCAGACATTACTTATTCCAGGACCACATCTTACTATAGCTGTTGCTACCCACTGTCCTTGTCCATGAAGTAGTCCTCCTCTGCCTGCCGGATTCCGTTCCCCATTAGAAGCCCCCAACCAAGGGTGACTCCTTTCCCCCATCCTGTTCCTCTTCCCTCGGCTGCCACTTCCTGTAACTTTGAATTTGACATAGAACATTGCTGGTACCCCTGACCATAGCAGGAGAAGGAACAAACCAATGTCTTTGTGCCAGAGGAAAAACTTTTCCCTTTGGTATGAACACCCAAATGTTGACATCATGTTCTGGTTTTCCTTTTACTTTCTAGAACGACACAAGAAAGAAAAGCCAAGAGAAATGGGTAAGCGAACTCTTATTTTGTCTTCTGCACTACTCTGGAACATATGGGCATTAAAGGGATATTGACCATTTGTTTTCAATCTTGTCATAATCAAAATGTTTGAATCTTTTTCTTTTAGCCAAAGTGCCAAAGAAAGTTGTGCATGGAAACAAAACTGGTAAGTGCCATGAAAAAATATATCTAGAAATTTGCACCTTTCCATTTGAAGAATTGTTAATATATTAACATAACTTTATGGAGATAAGAGAAATAATGTTTTGCTCTTTCTCTGATTGTCTAGAACCCCACAAGAAAGAAAAACCATTAGAAACAGGTAAACATGAATTACTGCCTCTGCTCTCATAACTTTTGCTTATGTGAAAGATAATATATTACAGCTGGGCAACATTTATTAAAACTCAGTAATTATAACTTTTCATTTTAGCCAAGTTACCGACGAAGGATATCCATGCAAAAGAATCTGGTAAGATCTGGATCAAAACAAATCTAGCAATTTATACTTTCCATCAGTTAACACAAACTTATTGTGACGAGTTGCCTTGAAAAAAAGAGACTGACCAATAAATAAATAAATAAAATAAAATAATGATGCCCACTCGTGGTTTAGAATAGAAGAATAGAATTGACTTGAAAGAAACTTGGATGTCTTCTAGTCCAGCCCCCTGATCAAGCAGAAGGCCTATACCATTCTCTAAGTACAGTGCTCCCATCAGTAATCACTAGCCGTTAAATAGAATCTTGTTAGACTAAAAATATTTCTCACTTCCTTTTCCTAGCCGTTTAGAGGGAGGGTCCCTTCTGTAATGCTTCCCAGGCTTTTCCCCCACCTAGAAAATTGCATCTTTTCATTTGAAGAATTGTTATAATAGCAATAGCGTTTAAACTTATATACTGCTTCATAGTGCTTTACAGCCCTTTCTTAGTGGTTTACAGAGTCAAGATATTGCCCCCAACAATTTGGGTCCTGATTTTGTTGACCTTGTTAGGATGGAAGTCTGAGTCAATCTTGAGCCAGTGAGAATCAAACTGCTGAAGTGCTGGCAGCCGGCAGTCCACAGTCAGCAGAATTAGCTTGCAGTACTGCATCCTAACCACTGCACCACCATGGTTACAATATAATAAATTATCACAATTCTATGAAGATGAAAGAAATAATATTCTGGTCTTTCTCTTATTGCCTAGAATCTCACAAGAAAGAAAAGCCAGTAGAAACATGTAAACATGAATTATTGCCCCACCTTTGCTTATGTGAAATATATTAATATATTACAGCTATGCCACATTTATTAAAACTCAATACTTTTAATTTTTCATTTTAGCTAGGCTACTGATGAAGGATATCCATGTAAAAGAATCTGGTAAGATCAGAATCAAAACAGATCTAATAATTTACAATTCCCATCAGTTAACACAAAGTTATTATTATTATTTGCTTACTGCTTGTCTTTGTGCCAGGGGAAGAATTTTTCCCTTTAATAGGAACACTAAAATGTTGACATTATGTTCTGGTTTTTCTCTTACTTTCTAGAACAACACAAGAAAGAAAAGCCAAGAGAAAAGGGTAAGCACGTTCTTATTTTGTCTTCTGCACTACTCTGGAACATATGGGCATTATAGGGATACTGACCATTTGTTTTCAATCTATGTCATAATCAAAATGTTTGAATCTTTTTCTTTTAGCCAAAGTGCCAAAGAAAGTTGTGCATGTAAACAAAACTGGTAAGTCGCATGTAAAATACATATCTAGAAGATTGCACCTTTCCATTTTGATGAATTCTTATACATTAACACAAAATTATGAAGATGAGAGAAATAATGTTCTGGTCTTTGTCTTATTGTCTAGAACCACACAAGAAAGAAAAACCATTAGAAACAGGTAAACATGAATTACAGCCACACTTTTGCTTATGTGAAAGATAATATATTACAGCTGGGCAACATTTATTAAAACTCAGTACTTATAACTTTTCATTTTAGCCAAGTTACCGACGAAGGATATCCATGTAAAAGTATCTGGTAAGATCTGGATCAAAACAAATCTAGCAATTTACACTTCCCATCAGTTAACACAATCTTATTATGATGAGTTGCCTTGAAATAAGAGACTGACCAAAACAAAACAAAAATGTATCCCTAGAAATTAAATAGAATCTTGTGAGACTGAAAGTATTTCTCAATTCTTTTTTATGTGTTTTAGAGGGAGGGTCCCTTCTGAAATGCTTCCCAGGCCTTCCCCACATGGGCAGACTAGGCTGCCTTTTATCAGACCACTGACTAGGTTTCAGGTCTTGGTTCTGTCTCCCAAGATCATTTCCACATATCATCACAGTAATCTCCTCACAGCTTTAGCAGACATTGCTTATTCCAGGGCCACCTTTTACTGTAGCTGTCACTACCCACTGTCCTTGTTCATGAAATAGTCCTCATCTGCCTGCCTGATTCGGTTCCCCATTAGAAGCCCCCAACCAAGGGCGACTCCTTTCCCCCATCCTTTTCCTCTGCTGCCACTTCCTTTAACCTCAAACTTGGCATAGAACACTGCAGCAACCCCTGACCACAGTATGAGGAAAAGGAACAAACCACTTTTCCCTTTAGTATGAACACCCAAATGTTGACATCATGTTCTGGTTTTCCTCTTACTTTCTAGAACGACACAAGAAAGAAAAGCCAAGAGAAAAGGGTAAGCACACTCTTATTTTGTCTTCTGCACTACTCTGGAACATATGGGCATTAAAGGGATATTGACCATTTGTTTTCAATCCGTGTCATAATCAAAATGTTTGAATCTTTTTCTTTTAGCCAAAGTGCCAAAGAAAGTTGTACATGTGAACAAAACTGGTAAGTGCCATGAAAAAATATATCTAGAAAATTGCACCTTTCCATTTTGACGAATTCTTATACATTAACACAACTTTATGAAGATGAGAGAAATAATGTTCTGGTGTTTCTCTGATTGTCTAGAACCCCAGAAGAAAGAAAAACCATTAGAAACAGGTAAACATGAATTACAGCCACACTTTTGCTTATGTGAAAGATAATATATTACAGCTGGGCAACATTTATTAAAACTCAGTACTTATAACTTTTCATTTTAGCCAAGTTACCGACGAAGGATATCCATGTAAAAGTATCTGGTAAGATCTGGATCAAAACAAATCTAGAAATTTACACTTCCCATCAGTTAACACAAACTTATTATGATGAGTTGCCTTGAAATAAGAGACTGACCAAAACAAAACAAAAATGTATCCCTAGAAATTAAATAGAATCTTGTGAGACTGAAAGAATTTCTCAATTCTTTTTTATGTGTTTAAGAGGGAGGATCCCTTCTGAAATGCTTCCCAGGCCTTCCCCACATGGGCAGACTAGGCTGCCTTTTATCAGACCACTGACTAGGTTTCACTGTCCTTGTTCATGAAATAGTCCTCATCTGCCTGCCTGATTCGGTTCCCCATTAGAAGCCCCCAACCAAGGGCGACTCCTTTTCCTCATCCTTTTCCTCTGCTGCCACTTCCTTTAACCTCAAACTTGGCATAGAACACTGCAGCAACCCCTGACCACAGATGAGGAAAAGGAACAAACTACTTTTCCCTTTAGTATGAACACCCAAATGTTGACATCATGTTCTGGTTTTCCTCTTATTTTCTAGAACGACACAAGAAAGAAAAGCCAAGAGAAAAGGGTAAGTACACTCTTATTTTGTCGTCTGCACTACTCTGGAACATATGGGCATTAAAGGGATATTGATCATTTGTGTTCAACCTATTTCATAATCAAAGTGTTTGAATCTTTTTCATTTAGCCAAAGTGCCAAAGAAAGATATGCATGTAAACAAAACTGGTAAGTGCCATGTAAAAAAAAATCTAGAAAATTGCATCTTTCCATTTGAACAATTGTTATAATAGCAATAGCAATAGCACATAGACTTATATACCACTTCACAGTGCTTTAAAGCCCTCTCTAAGCAGTTTACACAGTCAGGATATTGCCCCCAACAATCTGGGTCCTCTTTTTACTGACCTTGAAAGAATGGAAGTCTGAGCCAGTGAAAATCGAACTGCCAAAGTGCTGGCAGCCAGCAGTCTGCAGTCAACAGAATTAGCCTGCAGTACTATATCCTAACCACTGCACACCAAGACTACAATATAATAAATTATCACAACTCTTTGAAGATGAGAGAAATAATATTCTGGTCTTTCTCTTATTGTCTAGAATCCTACATGAAAGAAAAGCCATTAGAAACAGGTAAACATGAATTATTGCCACACCTTTGCTTATGTGAAATATATTAATATATTACACCTGTGCCACATTTATTAAAACTCAGTACTTTTAACTTTTCATTTTAGCCAGGCTACTGATGAAGGATATCCATGTAAAAGTATCTGGTAAGATCTGGATCAAAACAAATCCAGCAATTTACACTTCCCATCAGTTAACACATACTTATTATGATGAGTTGCTTTGAAAAAGAGACTGACCCAAAAAATAAAAATAATAATAATGATAAATAATATAGTGCCTTCTGCCTATTCTTGGTTTCCTCGGGCTCACCTTGAATGCATTTGGGTCAATATAAAAGGGAGAAAAAATGACATTGCCATAGGTGTATACTATAGGCCACCCAACCAAACAGAGGAAATAGATTAACTTTTTGCTAGTCAGCTAACTAAGGTATGTAGGAAGCACATCACCATAGTAATGGGGGACTTTAATTACCCTGACATCAACTGGGAGACAAACTCTGCATCAAGTGGAAGATCAAACAGATTCCTGACAAACCTAGCAGACAACTTTGTCTCCCAAAAAGTAGAGAAGAGAACTAGGGGATTAGCCATTTTGCATCTAATTCTCACTAACAGAGATGAAATGATAGAAGGTGTTGAAGCCACAGGAACCTTGGGAGGTAGTGATCATGCAATATTGGAATTCAACATTATGGAAGCACAAGCAATAGAACATAGTCAAACTAGAGTCTTGAACTTCAAGAGAGCTAATTTCAATAAACTTAGAGAGGGCTTGGGAAGGATTCCATGGATGAGAATCCTCCAGGGGAAAACAACGCAAGAAGCTTGGGAAATTTTGAAAAGCAAGATAATAAAAGCCCAATCTACCTCAATACCAACAAAGAGGAAAAATAACAGCTCTCAAAAGAAACCAGCATGGCTGCATAAAGAACTGTCTGATAAATTGAAAGATAAAAAGGACAAGTATAGAAAGTGGAAAGAGGGGAACATAACTAAATCAGAATATCAACAAATAGCCCGAGCCTGCAAAGATGAAGTGAGGAAAGCCAAGGCTCAAAATGAACTAAGGCTTGCGACCAAAGTCAAAAATAACAAAAAAAGCTTCTTTCAACATGTAAAAAACAAGGAAAAAGTGAAGGAAACGATTGGTCCATTAGTGGGGGAAAGTGGTAAGAAGATGACTAGCAATAGGGAGAAAGCAGAACTATTTAACTCATTTTTTTGCATCTGTCTTTACACAAAGGGAAAAAACAGACCAACCTATCAAAAATAGTGCCATAAAAACAGTATAGAAACACAAGTTAAGATAGGCAAGAAAATGATAAGTGAGCACCTGTCCAGCCTAGACGAGTTCAAATCACCAGGACCAGATGGATTACACCCCAAGGTTCTCAAGGAACTAGCAAATGTGATCTCAGAACCACTGAACTATATTTTTCAAAGATCCTGGAGCACAGGGGAACTACCAGAGGACTGGAAAAGAGCTGATGTAGTTCCCATCTTCAAAAAAGGAAAAAAATGGACCCAGGAAATTACAGACCTATCAGCCTGACCTCAATACCTGGGAAGATTCTGGAAAAGATAATCAAACAACGAATCAGCGAACGCCTAGAGGCAAACAAAGTCATTACTAAAAGCCAACATGGGTTTGTCAAAAACAGATCATGCCAGACAAATCTTATTGCATTCTTTGACCAGGTGAAAAAATTAGTGGACCAGAGGAATGCTGTGGATATAATTTACTTGGACTTCAGTAAGGCATTTGATAAAGTAGATCACAACCTACTACTCGATAAAATAGAAAAATGTGGGTTAGACAGCATCACCACCAAATGGATTCGTAGCTGGCTGACCGGCCGTACTCAGCATGTGGTCCTCAATGGAACTGCATCTACATGGAGGGAAGTGTGTAGTGGGGTGCCCCAGGGTTCTGTTCTAGGCCCAGTGCTCTTCAACATCTTCATCAATGATTTGGACGAGGGGATAGATGGGGAACTCATCAAATTTGTGGATGACACCAAGCTGGCAGGAATGGCCAACATTCCAGAAGACAGGCTTAAGATACAGGAGGACCTGGACAGACTTGAACACTGGGCGCTATCTAACAAAATGAAATTCAATGGTAAAAAAAGTAAGGTTCTACATTTAGGCAAGAAAAACCAAATGTACAGGTATAGTATAGGGGGTACCTTGCTCAATAGTAGTAACTGTGAGAGGGATCTCGGAGTTCTAGTTGACAATCACTTAAATATGAGCCAGCAGTGTGCTGCAGCTGCCAAAAAAGCCAACACAGTGCTGGGCTGCATTAACAGAAGGATAGAATCAAGATCACGTGAAGTATTAATACCACTTTACAATGCCTTAGTAAGGCCACACTTGGAATACTGCATCCAGTTTTGGTCACCACGATGTAAAAAAGATGTTGAGACTCTAGAAAGAGTACAGAGTACAGAGAAGAGCAACAAAGATGATTAGGGGAGTGGAGGCTAAAGCATATAAGGAGCGGCGGCTGGAACTGGGTATGTCTCGTTTAATGAAGAGAAGGACGAGGGGGAACATGATAGCAGTGTTCCAATATCTCAGGGGCTGCCACAAAGAAGAGGGAGTCAAGCTATTTTCCAAGGCGCCTGAAGGCAGGACAAGAAGCAATGGGTGAAAACTAAGCAAGGAGAGAAGCAACCTAGAACTAAGGAGAAATTTCCTGACAGTTAGAACAATTAACCAGTGGAACAACCTGCCTCCAGAGGAGGTGAATGCTCCAACACTGGAAGTTTTTAAGAAGAGACTGGACAGCCATTTGTCCTATATCATTTGCTTACTGCTTGTTGAAGATATATCTTCTTATGAGATGCTCTTTCTCAAGATTGGCTTGCTCCAGAGGCCAGTTAAAGCTACTCCAGCTTATCCTACTAGAAAATGTATTTTCTATGACGGAGCAGAGAAATACCTCCTCCATGTCTATTTTGTGTTGCCTGGAGAAGAAATCTTTAGGGTTGCTAGCATTCTGAGCTCTAGATCTATAGAAGGACCATCTCAACTGGTTATGAATGCCCTCCCTAGGGACAATCAGAGATATTGGAACTTTCATACTTAAAGTTATTCTTCCTTTTTAGGGAGAGTTGGTCTACCGAAGCCAATACGGAGTGCTCTCTAAGTACACTACTCCCATTAGTAATCATTAGCCTTTAAACAGAATCTTGCAAGACTGAAAGTATTTCTCACTTCCTCTTCCTAGTCTTTTAGAGGGAGGATAACTTCTGAAATACTTCTCAGGCTTTCCCTTATGGGCAGACTAGGTTGCCTTTTATCAGACTACTGACTAGATGGCAGGTCTTGCTCCTGTCTCCCAAGGTCTTTCCACATATAATCAGAGTAATTTCCTCACAGCTTTAGCTGACATTGCTTATTCCAGGACCATTTCTTACATAGCTGTCACTACCCACTGTCCTTGTCAATGAAGTAGTCCTCCCCTGCCTGCCTGATTCTGTTCCCATTAGAGGCCCCCAACTAAGGGTGACTCCTTTCCCCCATCCTGTTCCTCTTCCCTCTGCTGCCACTTCCTATAACTTTGAATTTGGAATAGAACATTGCTGCGACCCCTGACCACACCAGAAAGAGAAGGAACAAACCACTTTTCCCTTTAATATGAACACCCAAACATTGACATCATGTTCTGGTTTTCCTCTTACTTTCTAGAACAACACAAGAAAGAAAAGCCAAGAGAAATGGGTAAGCACACTCTTATTTTGTCTTCTGCACTACTCTGGAACATATGGGCATTAAAGGGATATTTGTTTTCAATCTATGTCATAATCAAAATGTTTGAATCTTTTTCTTTTAGCCAAAGTGCCAAAGAAAGATGTGCATGTAAAGAAAACTGGTAAGTGCCATGAAAAAATCAATCTAGAAATTTGTACCTTTTCCATTTGAAACATTGTTATAAAGTAATACAATTCAATTAAGATGAGAGAAATAATGTTCTGGTCTTTCTCTGATTGTCTAGAACCACACAAGAAAGAAAAACCATTAGAAACAGGTAAACATGAATTACTGCCACACTTTTGCTTATGTGAAACATAATATATTACAGCTGGGCAACATTTATTAAAACTCAGTACTTATAACTTTTCATTTTAGCCAAGTTACCAATGAAGGATATCCATGCAAAAGAATCAGGTAAGATCTGGATCAAAACAAATCTAGCAATTTACACTTCCCATCAGTTAACACAAACCTATCATGATGAGTTTCCTTGAAATAAGAGACTGACACCCCCCCCAAAAAAAATCAAATAATGATAACTAATAGAGCACATTATAATGGCGACTCCTTTCCCCCATCCTGTTCCTCTTCCCTCTGCTGCCACTTCCTTTAACCTTGAATTTGACATAGAACATTGCTGCGACCCCTGACCATAGCAGGAGAAGGAACAAACCAATTTCTTTGTGCCAGAGGAAGAACTTTTCCCTTTAATATGAACACCCAAATGTTGACATCATGTTCTGGTTTTCCTCTTACTTTCTAGAACGACACAAGAAAGAAAAGTCAAGAGAAATGGGTAAGTAAACTCTTATTTTGTCTTCTGCACTACTCTGGAACATATGGGCATTAAAGGGATATTTGTTTTCAATCTATGTCATAATCAAAATGTTTGAATCTTTTTCTTTTAGCCAAAGTGCCAAAGAAAGATGTGAGTGTAAAGAAAACTGGTAAGTGCCATGAAAAAATCAATCTAGAAATTTGCACCTTTCCATTTGAAACATTGTTATAAAGTAATACAATTCAATTAAGATGAGAGAAATAATGTTTTGCTCTTTCTCTGATTGTCTAGAACCACACAAGAAAGAAAAACCATTAGAAACAGGTAAACATGAATTACTGCCACACTTTTGCTTATGTGAAACATAATATATTACAGCTGGGTAACATTTATTAAAACTCAGTACTTATAATTTTTCATTTTAGCCAAGTTACCGATGAAGGATATCCATGTAAAAGAATCTGGTAAGATCTGGATCAAAACAAATCTAGCAATTTACACTTCCCATCAGTTAACGCAAACTTATTATGACGAGTTGCCTTGAAATAAGAGACTGACCAAAAAAATATCAAATAATGATGAATAATAGAGTCCTTTCTGCCCATTCATGGTTTCCTAGGTCTCATCTCTTGCCCTGCCTCCTAGATCATTTACTTATCACTTGTTGAAGATCTATCCTCACGTGAGTTCCTCTTTCTCAGGGCTGGCTTGCTGGAGAAGCCGGTTGAAGCCACTCCAGCTTTCCAACAAAAAAATGCTATTTTCTATGAGAAAACAGAGACAGATCTTCTCCATGTGTATTCTGTATTGCCCAAAGAAGGAATCTTTACTGTTACCAGCATTTTGGGCTCTAAGCCTATAGAAGGACCATGTTAATTTGTTATAAATGCCCTCCATGGTTAATTTAATGTTGACAATCAGAGATATTAACGTTCACTTTTAAGGTTTACCCATTCTTTTTAGGGAGAATTGGTCTGTTTAATACTGAAAACCAAAACTGAATATTCTCTAAATACAATACTCCCATGAGCAATCCCTAGACATTAAATAGAATCTTGTGAGACTGAAAGTATTTCTCAATTCTTTTTCCTCGTGTTTTAGAGGGAGAGTCCCTTCTGAAATGCTTCCCAGGCCTTCCCCACATGGGCACAAGTTATCTCCTCACAGCTTTAGCAGACATTGCTTATTCCAGGGCCACCTCTTACTATAGCTGTCACTACCCACTGTCCTTGTTCATGAAATAGTCCTCATCTGCCTGCCTGATTCGGTTCCCCATTAGAAGCCCCCAACCAAGGGCGACTCCTTTTCCTCATCCTTTTCCTCTGCTGCCACTTCCTTTAACCTCAAACTTGGCATAGAACACTGCAGCAACCCCTGACCACAGTATGAGGAAAAGGAACAAACCACTTTTCCCTTTAGTATGAACACCCAAATGTTGACATCATGTTCTGGTTTTCCTCTTACTTTCTAGAACGACACAAGAAAGAAAAGCCAAGAGAAAAGGGTAAGCATATGGGCATTAAAGGGATATTGATCATTTGTGTTCAACCTATTTCATAATCAAAGTGTTTGAATCTTTTTCTTTTAGCCAAAGTGCCAAAGAAAGATATGTATGTAAACAAAACTGGTAAGTGCCATGTAAAAAAATTCTAGAAAATTGCATCTTTCCATTTGAACAATTGTTATAATAGCAATAGCAATAGCACGTAGACTTATATACCGCTTCACAGTGCTTTGCAGCCCTCTCTAAGCAGTTTACACAGAGTCAGTATATTTTACTGACCTTGAAAGAATGGAAGTCTGAGTCAACCCTGAGCCAGTGAGAATCGAACTGCGAAAGTGCTGGCAGCCAGCAGTCTAACCACTGCACCACCAAGACTACAATATAATAAATTATCACAACTCTTTGAAGATGAGAGATATAATATTCTGGTCTTTCTCTTATTGTCTAGAATCCTACATGAAAGAAAAGCCATTTGAAACAGGTAAACATGAATTATTGCCACACCTTTGCTTATGTGAAATATATTAATATATTACACCTGTGCCACATTTATTAAAACTCAATACTTTTAACTTTTCATTTTAGCCAGGCTACTGATGAAGGATATCCATGTAAAAGTATCTGGTAAGATCTGGATCAAAACAAATCCAGCAATTTACACTTCCCATCAGTTAACACAAACTTATTATGACGAGTTGCCTTGAAAAAGAGATTGATAATAATAATAATAATAATAATAATAATAATAATAACAACAACAACAACAACAACAACAATAACAATAACAATAACAATAACAATAATAACAATAATAATAATAATAATAATAATAATAATAATAATAATAATAATAATAATAATAATAATAATAATAATAATAATAATAATATAATATAGTGCCTTCTGCCTATTCTTGGTTTCCTAGGGCTCATCTTTGCCCTGGCTCCTATATCATTTGCTTACTGCTTATTGAAGATATATCCTCTTATGAGATGCTCTTTTTCAAGATTGGTTTGCTCCAGAGGCCAGTTAAAGCTACTCCAGCTTATCCTACTAGAAAATGTATTTTCTATGACGGAGCAGAGAAATACCTCCTCCATATCTATTTTGTGTTGCCTGGAGAAGAAATCTTTAGGGTTGCTAGCATTCTGAGCTCTAGATCTATAGAAGGACCATCTCAACTGGTTATGAATGCTCTCCCTAGGGACAATCAGAGATATTGGAACTTTCATACTTAAAGTTATTCTTCCTTTTTAGGGAGAGTTGGTCTACCGAAGCCAATACGGAGTGCTCTCTAAGTACACTACTCCCATTAGTAATCATTAACCTTTAAACAGAATCTTGCAAGACTGAAAGTATTTCTCACTTCCTCTTCCTAGTCTTTTAGAGGGAGGATAACTTCTGAAATACTTCTCAGGCTTTCCCTTATGGGCAGACTAGGTTGCCTTTTATCAGACTACTGACTAGATGGCAGGTCTTGCTCCTGTCTCCCAAGGTCTTTCCACATATCATCAGAGTAATTTCCTCACAGCTTTAGCTGACATTGCTTATTCCAGGACTATTTCTTACATAGCTGTCACTACCCACTGTCCTTGTCAATGAAGTAGTCCTCCCCTGCCTGCCTGATTCTGTTCCCATTAGAAGCCCCCAACTAAGGGTGACTCCTTTCCCCCATCCTGTTCCTCTTCCCTCTGCTGCCACTTCCTATAACTTTGAATTTGGAATAGAACATTGCTGCGACTCATGACCATAGCAGGAGAAGGAACAAACCACTGTCTTTGTGCCAGAGGAAGAACTTTTCCCTTTAGTATGAACACCCAAATGTTGACATCATGTTCTGGTTTTCCTTTTACTTTCTAGAACGACACAAGAAAGAAAAGCCAAGAGAAATGGGTAAGCACACTCTTATTTTGTCTTCTGCACTACTCTGGAATATATGGGCATTAAGGGGATATTGATCATTTGTTTTCAAACTATGTCATAATTAGATGTTGGAATCTTTTTCTTTTAGCCAAACTTCCAAAGAAAGATATACATGTAAACAAAACTGGTAAGTGCCATGTAAAATATATATCTAGAAAATTGCACCTTTCCATTTGAAGAATTGTTAATACATTAACATAACTTTATGAAGATGAGAGAAATAATGTTTTGCTCTTTCTCTGATTGTCTAGAACCCCACAAGAAAGAAAAACCATTAGAAACAGGTAAACATGAATTACTGCCTCTGCTCTCATAACTTTTGCTTGTGTGAAACATTAATATATTACAGCTGGGCAACATTTATTAAAACTCATTGCTTGTAACTTCTCATTTTAGCCAAATTACTGACGAAGGATATCCATGTAAAAGAATCTGGTAAGATCAAAACAAATCTACCAATTTACACTTCCCATCAGTTAACACAAACCTATTATGATGCATTGCTTTGGAAAAAAGAGACTGACCAATAAATAATAAAATAAAATAAAATAAAATAATAAAATAAAATAAAATAATAATAAAATAAAATAAAATAAAATAAAATAAAATAAAATAAAATAAAATAAAATAA